CACGCACACACACACACAAACACACAAATTGCATGATCAGTAAACCGGTCGAGTGCAGATCCTGCAGTGTTGTTTTGGGAGCGAGGGCGGCGAGCCTATTCCTGTCGTAGAAGTCGTTCCTGTTTGATGTGATTCATAGTGCAGCAGACGGATGGGTTCTTGTGAGAAGGGCCTGTGATCTTTCTGGATAAAAAGTGTCGGCAATGAGGTGTTTTAGTGAAACAGGTAGGTCTGTGCATGCATTCCTGTAATTTTGTGATTGGGTACTGTGATGCCATGTGTGTGCTACAAACAGGTCTGTTTATGCTTTACACCTTCCATAAAGTGTTTGCTCCGTCAAACAGGTGCACTTTGTCGCTCTTTTTTTTATTCCTATGCACAGATATATCAGTTGATGTTTCCATTGCCCTTGCTGTCGCCGCTCTGCTACTTTTTAATGGAACAACACTGTTTCCATGTTTACATCACGTCTAGCGCCAGTTTCCATTCCCGGTTCAAAGTGGAGGCCACTTCAGCTGCTCTTGTTCCCTTTGTAGCTGAACCGCCGTTGATGTGGTGCACACACACACACACACACACACACACACACACACACACACACACACACACACACACACACTGGCAGAAGTATTGTTTAACACGTCAACTGACACATGTATTCTTTGAACTTCCACCCAGGTTGCAGTCGAGCCTACGTGTTTCCTATCTAGTGACAATTCAATTGTTTTTTGTTTTGTTTTTTTTTTCTGGGCGGGTGATCTCCAGAACTCACAACCACAAGTAAGAACAGCATGTCATTTGGAGGGGGGGGGGGGACAAAAAAACAGAAATTACAGAATGTAATTTGTGAGCGATGCCAATAATTGTGCCAACCACAGCTGTGCATTGCCATCAGCATGCACATCTTTGTATGTGTGTGAGGTGCATGTGTGCATGTGTGTGCATGTGTGTGCATGTGTGTCCATGGTTGTTCATCTGTGCATGTGTGTGTGTGTGTCCTGGTCCCGGGGGGCGAGGTAGGAGGGGGGAGGGGGGAGGGGGTAGAAAGGGAGTGGGTACTAGTATTAGCAATACAGAGATGTGGTAATAGAATTGGAAATGCTCTTCTCCATTAAAGTTTCTGTCTGATGCCAACCTTGGGATTGAACTTTTGTCTCGTTGTCCACGATCGCATCATTTTGCTGGAGCACAGTTTTTCGGGCTTTCCCCTGATATTGCCGGTTTTTAGAATGTTTGCTGTGTTGGAGCAGCATGATCATTTTGTGTGACCAAGCTAGACAAGTGCTAGGGCTTTACTCATACCAGGACTTCAGTGCACGAACTTGGGTGTGGCTATGGTTGGGAACCTAATCGAAAGGCTGCGTGTCTATGCCATGAGATGCTATTGTTCGCGCTCAGGAAAAAACTAATGCGAGAAAGAACTTGCCATCTACTTCATGACAGTTCATGTTTCCAGCATAGGCGTGCTCAGTATGTTTTCTGTCGTGCAGCGCGGTACTGGTTCTCTTCCCTGAAAAGTGAACCCCTAGTGCTCGAAGTGCCTCGTACGACATGGCTCGTTCAATAGTGCTATAATCAGGGCTGGGGAGGGAGGTGAGAACCTGCTTAGCCCTGATACCTATGAGCGCTGTCCGGTCAAAGATCACTAGAATGCTAGTGGGTGATGACCTTGGGTATGCTCAGGTAGCGCCTTGGGAGTAGGGATGTGCTGGGGATCATGATGATGAGTAAGGGTGGGAGGGCAAAGGAGACCAGTTAGGCAATATACCCGGATGATCAAATGGTCAGGTGCGGCCAGGCCTGTCATATGCCTACTAGCCAGCCATTACAACAACTTGGGGGACTTAAAAGTGAAGTCTCTATTGTTTTTTTAACTTTGTTTTCACTTTTTTTTTTTTTTTTGGTGGTGATCCTCCCCCACTATCCATCCCATTCCTACCTCAACATTCCTCTTCCTTAACCCCTGCTTCTCCATCTACAGGGGGCACCGTTGACCCTTACCTCGGGTATACCCGACAGCAGTAGCAGGCACCAGCACTAGGCCAGGACAATCCCTCCCAGCCCTAGTTGAAGCACTGTCGGGCGAGACTTGTCGCACTTCAGTCGCCAAGCATGATCGTCCTGTGCACTTTCCTTATGAGCATCAGCCTGGGTTGGTCAGACAGCGAACATTCCACGGATCTACCCCAGGCAGTGTGTACTCTCCTACCCTGACCAAGGTCTTACCTAGGGCAGCCTCCTGACCCAACCCGGGCGACATGTTCCTAGCACAGCGTACTGTTGCCTTGTATTAGGGGTTGCGGTGTCATCACGGATAGTTAGTTATCCAGTTCATATTGAGGGGGCAAGGTTATCGATCCGTAACCGTCGCACCAGTTCACCACTGGGCCGATTCCTGCCACTGAAAACCTCCGGCGCATCCCCCCTTGGCCCCCGGTTGACTATCGGTTAGCATGGGGCTATTCTTCACCCCTGCCAGTGTCGTATCGAGGGGGCAGGGTTATCGGTCCGTAACCGTCACACCAGTTCGCCACAGGGCCGATTCCTGCCAGGGAAAACCTCCAGCCCATCCCCCCCGTGCACCCCCCAGGCGGTTATCAGGTATGAGTTATGTGTTATGTGTTTGGAGTTGAGCATGGTCGGTATATTTCTGTGCTGCAGCCCAGCAGGCAACACCGTTGTGTCATGCCAGCCAAAGAGGTCCGATAGCATGGCCCCTGAAGGATGGGTTGCTGGCCAGTGGCCAGGCAACATCAGTGATTTTTGCCTGTGAAATGTACTTGTGCTTTAATGTTAGAGATGCATGCGACGATACCTTTATTCCTTTTGGGGACTGTGCAAATGTTTGTTCCTTCAGTCATGACAGGATACTGATGAATAGTCGCTCAGGAGGGGATTATTTGAATAATCGCTCAGGGGGGCTTATTTGAATAGTCGCTCAGGAGGGGCTTATTTTTATAGTCGCTCAGGAGGGTCTAATTTTGAATTTTGAAAAATTGGTCTGCCAAATTTTTTCAG